ATACAAAACCGTTGAAATCACAAACTTGGAAATTGCAATGCCCACCAAAGTTAAAACACTTTTTATTGGCAAATTTTATCTGGTTGTATATCGGTTACGGTAAATTTGCGAGAAACGGAGAATAAATTGTGACATAGAGTGTCGCAGATGTGAGGAAACAGAGAAAACAATTAATCTTGCCATTTTTTGAATGTCCCCCCAGCTTGTCAGACGTGGGTGCTATCACAAATTCTTATGGCACCTATCATCACGAATTTTTCCAACAGCCTCTATCATCACGAATTTGAATCATCTTTTTTTGGAGAACAAGCTCATAAGTCGATAAATCTTCGTTTCCATGGATAATTTGGTACATTTGGAAAGCGAAAAATGATAAAATTTATGACAATATTGATAAAAAAAAACCTTTGGAGGTCATGCGTTTAGCAGAGAATGAGGTACTGGCAAAGCAGTTAGCTCAAATTGAGCTTCACCCGAAAAATCAGGTTTCTTTGGAAATGGATAGTCGTATCCGGGGAGTAGTTGGTTCAATTGTGTCAATCAATTCCGGTTTTTGATGTTACATTGATGGTTCATGGAAAGAGATTGAAAAGTTCTCAAGCGCAGGGTGGTACTGCTCGTTAGCTAACGGAGAGTCGCCAACAATGGGAGCCGCCAACCTCCAAAGGAGGCTAACTCCACTACATACTGAAGTGAAAGCATTTGTCTAGGCGATGAGGTGCATGATTATTGCCGACAACCAAGACGTAACGTTTTTTACAGATTGTTCTGATTTGGTGAAAATAGTGTCTTCTCTAACCGAATGGCCAGCATTTTCAGCGTACCTGGAGAAGATTCAAATCAACAAAGAAGAATTTTCTAATTTTTCTTTCTCTTTAGATTTCCGTAGTGCAAATATTAAAGCGCATAATTGGGCATGAAGATTTCGTACCGAACTACATCATATTATCTATGTAAACAACATCCACAGGACTGGCTCTTTTGAGCAATATTAATTTAAGTTGTTGACAAAAAAATAAAAAATACTAACATTAGTAATCTATATAATAATAACAATCTCAATAATTTTTTTTGAAGTTGTGTACAGTTATGTTTTTTTTATCATAATCTTTCGTTAATTTTTTTTCAAAAACTAAAATAATTATTTTACAATTGTATTTAGTAAGAAAGTTGCAATCCGAATAAATGCTTCCACAGTTGTGTCTTTTTACCGTAACTATACATAAACGTTTGTTACCGTTTAGTTGAACCACATCAATATTTAATTTATTTAAAAAATTATTGCAATCTTTGTTTTATCTTACGAACCCTTGTAATTCTTCTATATAATAATAGAAAACCGCATAAATGCCTTCTACGGTTGCGTCTTTTATCATAATTTTTCATAATTTATTATCATCTTTTTCTATATAACCGACTAGTTTAACTATTGCAGCATTTGGTTTCTTTAACGAATCATTATAACTTTTGTTTATTTTCTAAATTGTTGTAACATTTAGTTATCTACAGTTATGTCGTCTTTCAGTGTAACAATATAACTACATAAATTATTAGTTTTTAATTTTTTCTTAAATATATTTAAATGAATTGTTGCAACCATTTAGTTGAATTGTTGTAACATTTGGTTTATTTAACGAATCATTCCAACTTTTAGTTTTGTTTTATGAACTAAGTTTTGCATAACTAAGTTAAGATTTTTCCATCTAAAATTAAGGAAACACGATTTTAGAAAACTAAATTAACCATAAATATATGGAAAAATTAATTAAGTTATTAAAACATAATTTTCATTTATAAAAAATATTAGAAACAAAAAAGATGGAATTTTTTAACTTATTTATGCAAAACTTAATTAGTTTATATATTCATACTTAGAAAACTAGTATCTCTTCTTTTTTTCTTTTCAAAATGTTATTAATTTATGTTTCAGAATTCGCACATTAACTTGTCCACAAAATAAAAAAAGATCGAGGACTCTCTCTCTTCTCTCTTCCATATTTTTCAGAGAGAGAGTTGGCTTCGTTCCTTACTTCGCCGTCTGGAAATCTCTAGCAAGGCCGTCCAGTTAGTTCAACTGGCTTCAGTCCGACATCCATCGGCTTCTTATACGGAGATGGTCGGCTTTCGTCCAGCAAATCGGCTCCCACATGCCGTTTTGGCTGGTTTTGTATTTATTTCCGCCGTGAATCGGTTTCATACCGATTTATGTAGTCCTATTTAGTTTATCTTTTAATAACCTCTCTGGATCTATGTTTGGTGGTCCTAATCCAGCGATTTCTCGCTCAACGGTGGCCTTCTCCAACCACTACAAGAAAACATGAGATTAGCGACTTAATTCGGCGACTAATTTTGCAGTCGCTACATCTAGTGACCGTTTAGCTACGTTTTGGCGACTAAATATGAACCAAAATACGATAGTCGCTAATTAGTATCTAATATGAGACTGATTTATATTGTCGTTATATAGTCGCTAAATATGGCGACGGATTAGTTACCGAATATTTAGTCGCCAACTGGAGCGACTCAGTGGCTACGAATTAGCGACTGCGTAATTCTAGTTGGACATTCAAATTGGGCCCAAAAGCCCAACAACCTAGTAACGTTAGCCCATGAGCCCAAGTATATATGTCGTTCTCCTTGTAGAAAACCCTAATCCCGTTTTGCTCGCACCCAAATCAAACCCTAGATTCTCTCGATCTAGCGACGAACCCTGATTCTCGACCGAATTGTCTCTCGTATCTCTCTCGATGGCTCCGAAGAGAGGAAGAGGAAGAGGAGGAAGAGGAAGGGCTCCGAAGGTTTCCCCAAATCGACCTGTCGCCAATCGACCCACTGCTTCTGGGACGTCAAATCGAAGACCCAGTACTCTTCCTAGCCAGTATACCTTCACTCCGGCGAATCCTGAAGCCCCAGAGACTCAGCAAAGTCCGGTAAATCCTGTAGCCCTAGAGTCTCAGCCTCCGACTCATAGAGACTATCCTCCTCCGACGCAGCTGTTCCAGTCCGGCGATGATTCTCCTCGAGGCTCTGGGTCGCATCCATTTCGGGAATCTGGATCTACTCAAGTTCGAGGGTCTGGATCTGTTTAAGGACGAGGCTCTGTAGGATCTATTCATCGTCTAGCTTCTCGGTCGAATCAACCTCCTGCGCCGGTTCAACCTCCTGCGCCGGTTCAACCTCCAGCGTCGACTCAGCCTGCAGCGTCAAATCGACAAATACCATCTCGTCAACAAAGACCTTCTCCTCAACCTCGAGCCTCTGTATCGCATCATAGTTCTCAGGCTCAAAACTCACACGAGGAATCTGAAGATGAGGAAGCTGAAGGTGAATCTGAAGAAGATGTGTTGAGGGATTCAACACTCCCAGAAGATGTCCTCGCAGATTTACATGCTACACTTCTCATCCCAGGCCGTGAGAAGTACACCACCGTCATCTCTCCCAACCTCGAGCCTGAAACCACTTGGTAAACATTTTTAATTTTGATTGTATATAGGTCTGATTGTATATAGATTAGGTAAATAGGTTAGCTTGGTAAACATTTTCAATACTTAAGTAGAGTCTTCTTATTGGTCTGCATGTTTTGGTCTTATAGTCTGTTAGGTTTGCTTGTATATAGGTCTGCTTGTATAGTTTGAGTTAGAGTCTGTTAGTATATAGTATTAGCTTTATTGGTCTGCTTGTATAACTTAAGTAGAGTCTGATTGTATAATTTGAGTTTGAGTATGTTTGTATTTGATTAGGTCTACTTGTTTATAGATTATGGATGGTATCAAAGCTAACTGGTTTATTTGATTGTAGGTTTGGTAAGGACAATGGAAAGCTAACCCGGAAGATCACTAAATGTTTCACAAACAAGTTTGATGGGCCATATTACAATTGGAGCTGTGTTCCTACTGGTAGAAGAGAAAGATACTTCCTCGAATTCGCGGTAAAATTCTGTCTCCTCTTATACTTATGTAATTACACTTTTGTTTTGTTTTTTGATCACTAACACCAAACTCTACTCTTGTTTTGTAGAAACTACACACCTGGCATCCCTCAGTGACAGGTGTTGTTGAAGCTAAATTCTACAAGATTTGTCAGGTGCGGATGAAAGACATGGTTAGCAAGGCATGTTCAAAACGAGAGAGGCCAAATTGGATCGAGAAAACACTTTGGATAGAGATGTGTGCCTATTGGGACACTGAAGAAGCATTAGCAAAGAGTTCAACCACATCAGCAGCTAGGATGTCTGACCGTAATGGTCTTGGTCCTCACAAGCATGTTGCTGGTCCAAAGTCGTTTTTACAAATAGAGCAAGAGATGGTACATTCTGACCTATTTACTTTGTTTTAGTTTTAGATTACTTAGACCTATATATTTACTTTGTTCAGGAAGTTGAATTGGGAAGACCTCCTACTATTGGTGAAGTTTTCATCAGGACTCATACCAAGAAGGATGGGACTTTTGTGGATAGGAAGGCGCAGGAAGTCCATGAAACATATCTCAAGAACAAGGCAGCTAAGTTGGCTGCCCTTCAAGAGAATGATGAACAAGCAGATGGGACTTCGCGACGATCTGAGCTATCTCAAGAGGAGGATGATGAGATCTTCCTTCAGGTAAATAGTCTGTTATTTATGGTTGCTTTTGTTATGCAGTCTAACTGTGTAATACTCTTTCTTTTGGTATGCAGTCTACTATCACAAACGACAGAGGAGAATACTTTGGTGTTGGCAGCCTCGGGGTTTACATCAACGGGAAGCGCAAGTACCCAGGAAGCAGTTCTTCTTTCACAACACTCCAATCACAGCTTGAGGATGCTAACCGGAAGATTGAGGAACAAGCAGCGCTCCAAGCAGAACGTGAAGCAGAGGCTTTGCGGGTCGCAGCTGAGCAAGCAGCTGAGATCAAGCATTTGGCGATGGTGAAGAAGTATTTGAGCGAGACTGACCCAAAGTTTATGGCCTTCCTCAAGTCTCAATCTGCTGCCACTGATACTACTACTGCTGCCACGACTGCTGCCACTGCTGCTGCCACTGCTGCTGCCACGACTGCTGCCACTGCTGCTGCCACGACTGCTGCTACTACTGCTACTATTCCTACTGCTCAACAACCATAGGTCCCTCCTTCTCTAAACTTTCCCTCCTTCTCTGAACTTGAAAACATTTTTGTTGCTTTGAAAACTTGTGTAAGTTGTTTGGTTACTTGAACTTGGTTCTTATGTTTATGTATGTTTATGTTGTGGTTTATTTTATAATGTTCTTATGTTTTAAATAGAAGTCTTTTTGCTTATAAATTGGTAATAACAATCAAATTAGCAACAATTTATTCTTCCAAAATTAGCATTCTAAGTCGATAATAATCAGTCGCAAAGTAGTATCAATTCAGTTACCAAAACATTTAGAAAATAGTCGCCATGTAGTGACATAACAGTCGCTAGATTCGTCACAAAACAGTCGCCAAAAGAGTCGCAAACTTAGCGACTGTGTGACGACTGAATAGCGACTGCAAATAATGGTCGCCTATTAGTCGCCAAATAGCGACTGTTATGCGACATATTAATTTAGCGACGCAAGGTTCAGCGACTACGTGTTTTAGTCGCCAAACAGTCGTAATTATGTATTTAGCGACGATTTTGTTACTATTAGTGTAGTCGCTAAATCCATGTTTTCTTGTAGTGAACTATTTCTTTGAGTCTTGCTTTGTTTTATGTCTCCGGTGGTTTCCAGTGAGATTATGCGTTGTCTAATCCGGCCAGATCGGGTGGATTTGCTGTTTTCTCTCTCGGATGTTCTCAAACCGGTTCTTCAGATATATGGTTTACAACAAACCTGCAATGGTGATTACGTTCAACGTAATGAAAAGAAGACTTGTTTCCAGCATATTATTGGATTGTAAATAGGTTTAGTTATTGGTATATGTTAACCGGATTGTATAGTTACCCGGTTTGTATAGCTGAACACTATATATACTTGTAATCCACACATTTATTCAATAACGAGAAAATCATTTCATAACAAACTTTCTCTTTCTCTGATCTAGATCCATTTCTCGTAATATGGTATCAGAGCCATCAAAGCTCTAGATCTCTCGTTTTCCACCATTTTTGAGCTCCGATCTTGCTCCGATCTTCTTGATTTCAGCTCCGATGGTGTCTGTTCCGAAGATTCCGCGCAAATCGACTCTTTCTAAAGCTTTGACGAGCTCTGTAGTCACTCGTCCTCGCAAATCAACTCGATCCTCTGGTGTTCCGATTTCTCCTCCCGATTCTCCTCCGGTTGCTATCGATATGCTTTCCGGAGCTTTGCGAGCTGATACATCGCCAGATATCTCAGATCCGAGTTCTTCACCGTACTTTATGCACAACGCTGACCATCCAGGTTTGATTATTGTTTCTCTTCGTCTTGATGGAACGAATTACGATGATTGGAATGTTGCGATGGAAGTTGCGTTAGATGCTAAGAACAAATTAGGATTTATAGATGGAACTTTGACTCGTCCGGTTGAAACTGATAGAAATTTCCGTCTATGGTCCCGTGGAAATAGTATGGTTAAGTCATGGTTGTTAAACACAGTCTCTCCTCAGATTTATCGCAGTATCTTACGTTTAAAGGATGCTGTTGATATATGGAGAGATCTGTATAGTCGTTTTCACATGACTAATCTACCAAGAATATTTAATCTCACTCAGGAGATACAAGATCTCCGTCAGGGTTCAATGTCTCTTTCTGATTATTATACCACCTTGAAAAATTTGTGGGATAACTTGGATAGCACAGATGAACCAGATGATCCTTGTGTATGTGGTAAGGCTTCTCGTTTGCAATTGAAGGCAGAGAGAGCCAAGATTGTCAAGTTTCTAGCTGGCCTAAATGACTCTTATGCGTTTATTAGGAGACAAATAATCATGAAGAAGGTCCTACCCACCTTGGCAGAGGTTTATCACATTCTGGATCAAGATGACAGTCAAAGAGGATTCTCTAACACTGTTGCCCCACCTGCTGCTTTTCAAGTCTCAGCTCCACAGAATGCTTATCAAGTCTCAGAGGTTATTTCTTCTCCTTTAATGGATCCAACTGTCTGCTATGTGCAAAATGGACCGAATAAAGGAAGGCCTATCTGCTCTTACTGCAATAGAGTTGGTCATATTGCAGAGAGGTGTTATAAGAAACATGGATTTCCTCCTGGTTTTACACCTAAAGGGAAACCTGTTGAGAAGAATGCTGGTTTTCAGAAATCTCGTCCTGTTGCTGCTCAAGTCACTATGATGCCTACTCAGTCTGAAGATTCTCCAGTTCCTACTAATCTTGATGATGCAGTTGGAGGTTTGAGTAAGGAACAACTTCAACAGTTTATTGCGCTATTCAGTTCTCAGCTTCAGACTCCTCAAGGCAGTGATATTGCAACTACCAGCTCTCCTCAGCCTATCAATCCTGGTATTTCTTTTTCATCTTCCACATATTACTTTGTTGGGATCTTGAATGTGTCTCAGCACACACTATCATCGCAGACTTGGGTTATAGATTCTGGTGCAACACATCATGTTGCACATGATAAGAATCTTTTCTTAAACCTTGATACTTCTGCTTTGAGTTTTGTGAATATGCCTATAGGTCCTACTGTAAAAATCAGTGGTGTTGGCACAATTCAGATAAATGATCATATTCTGTTGAAGAATGTGTTATTCATTCCTGAGTTTAGGCTGAATCTCATCAGTATAAGTTCTCTGACAAGTGATCTTGGATCCAGAGTAATCTTTGATCCTTCTTCTTGTGAAATCCAGGATCCTATCAAGGGATTGACGCTTGGAAAAGGTAGGAGAGTCGCCAATCTATATTTGCTGGATGTTGAGGAGCCTTCAGTATCAGTTAATGCAGTTGTGGACATCAGTATGTGGCATCGAAGGCTAGGACATCCTTCTTTGCATAGACTGGATGTAATTTCTGATAGTTTGGGAACCAGTAGACATAAGAATAAAGGAGTTGACTATTGTCATGTTTGTCACTTATCAAAACAGAAGAAGTTATCTTTTCCTTCCCTGAATCACATTTGTAATACAAACTTTGAAATGTTACATATTGATATTTGGGGGCCATTTTCAGTAGACACCATGGAAGGGTTCAGATATTTTTTGACAATAGTAGATGATCATTCGCGTGCTACTTGGGTTTATTTGCTTAAAACAAAGGCTGAGGTTCTTACTGTGTTTCTGGCTTTCATAAGAAAAGTAGAGAATCAGTATAATACCAAGGTTAAGGTTGTGAGATCAGATAATGCTCCTGAGCTAAGGTTTACAGATTTCTATCAACAGAAAGGGATTGTGGCTTATCACTCTTGTCCTGAAACTCCGGAACAAAACTCAGGTTCCAATGAAGTTCTGGGGAGATTGTATTTTGACTTCGGTTTTCTTGATTAACAGGACACCTTCTCAAGTCTTATCTAACAGGTACTCCTCCTCAATACTCTCAGTTAAAGACATTTGGTTGTCTCTGTTACAGTACTACCTCTCCAAAGCAGAGACACAAATTTCAAGCTAGATCAAGGGCTTGTGTATTTTTGGGATACCCCTCTGGTTACAAGGGATATAAGTTGATGGATTTACAGAGTAACAACATTTTCATTTCTAGAAATGTTGTTTTCTATGAAGAGGTTTACCCGCTGGCCATAGATCCACATTCAGAACACTCTCTGGAGTTATTCACATCAAAGGATTCTTTGCATTCAGGTAATACTTTTTCATCTATTCCTCCTCTTCCATCACAAATTTCTGATCTTCCACCACAAATTTCTTCTCAGAGAGTAAGGAAACTTCCTGCTCATCTGCAAGATTATCACTGCTATAATGTGAAATCTGATCATACTTATCCTATTTCCTCATCTCTCTCATACTCAAATATTTCACCATCTCATCTTTGTTACATCAATAACATCACAAAAATCCCTATTCCTAGTAATTACTCTGAAGCACAGAACTCCAAGGAATGGTGTGATGCAGTTGACAAAGAAATTGGTGCAATGGAGTCTACAAATACATGGGAAATCACTACATTGCCTCCGGGGAAGAAACCAGTTGGCTATAAATGGGTTTTTACCTTGAAGTTTCTTGCTGATGGTAGCCTAGAACGTTACAAAGCTAGACTTGTGGCTAAGGGTTATACACATAAAGAGGGTTTAGACTACACTGAAACTTTTTCTCCGGTTGCAAAGATGGCTACAATCAAGTTATTGTTAAAGGTTTCTGCATCGAGAAAATGGATTCTGACTCAACTTGATGTGTCCAATGCATTTTTGAATGGAGAACTAGATGAAGAGATTTTTATGAAACTTCCTGAAGGTTATGCAGAGAGAAAAGGTATTACTTTACCATCTAATGCTGTTTGCAAATTGAAAAGATCTATTTATGGTCTAAAGCAGGCATCACGACAGTGGTTTAAGAAGTTTTCAGAATCTTTGCTGCAATTGGGGTTTCATAAGGGTCATGGAGATCATACCTTGTTTATGAAGTACTGTGAGGGTGAATTTGTGGTTGTTTTAGTCTATGTTGATGATATAGTCATAGCTAGTACCAATGCTATGCTTGCTACTCAGTTGACTAATGATCTACAGGCCCGGTTCAAACTCAGAGATCTTGGTGAATTGAGGTACTTCTTGGGTTTGGAAGTTGCTAGGACTGATGCAGGCATATCATTATGTCAAAGAAAATATGCTCTGGAGCTTCTTACTTCTACTGGAATGCTTGGATGTAAACCAGTTTCAGTTCCCATGATTCCTAATTTGAAAATGTCTAAAGAAGATGGAGAGTTACTGGAAGATAGAGAAGAATATAGAAAATTTGTGGGAAAACTGATGTATTTGACCATCACAAGACCTGATATCACTTTTGCAGTAAATAAACTATGTCAGTTTTCATCAGCACCAAGAACAAGTCATCTAACTGCAGTCTACAGGGTATTGCAGTATATTAAAGGAACTGTTGGCCAGGGATTGTTCTACTCTGCTACTGCAGACCTCACCCTTAAAGGTTTTGCGGATTCCGATTGGGCTTCCTGTAGAGACAGTAGACGTTCCACTACTGGTTTTAGCATGTTCATTGGTGATTCTTTGATTTCTTGGAGATCCAAGAAACAACCAACTGTTTCTCGGTCTTCTGCAGAG